AAATGTACTGTATTCACAGTATCAGCGCTATTTCTTTGCTGTAGCTGGAAATTTTTGGCTTGACTACGGTACAGTTTCTGTCTTGATTTTCATGTTCATGAAATCTACTCGAAATTACTGTACGTATCACTTGTTACTGTAGCAACAGATAACACTCTTGAACCTACTGTAGCCGAAAAGGTTTTCTTTCTTCATCATATGATTTTGTTAAACCATGAGCAAACTTGATTTGCATGAACGATTCGTTGCAATACTTTTTAATACTAAAGTTTTGGAAATTTCGTTTGTCACCAATACATATATTAATATCGCTAAATTTTTGATTATTTGTAAGTTTCATTATCTTTGTTGTTCTAAACTATATTATTAGCACGGTACATGAATAAGCCGAAATAGCTGCTAAACAATTAAGGCACAAATGCTAAAATAGCACAGTGCATCGTAGGTCCTTCCTCTTATTCAGACGATCTTCGACAAAATTTGTATAGCTGGAAATACCGCGAAAAGATACCTCAGTTGATTTAGTATTCAACATGGAAAATTAGCTTCTGTACTGTTCTTTAGATCTCTTCATCGGTGCTCTGAATGAGAATATCGTCGTACAAACGTTTATTGAATAAGTTGCATTTATGAGAGGTACAGACAAACTTTGTCTCTGCACTCTGCATATCAGCCTACCTCTGTGCGCAACACAAAGTCGACCGTCTTATTCTGTCGTTCGGTTACAAAATTTAATCGTTTCACCCGTCACGGCTTTAATGTTATCATTTATAGCATCCAGAAAGTAATGTTCCGTTGCACTTAGCTCTGCATCAATGAAATGCTCGCATGTCTAGCCATAATGGTTGACCGTAATTATTTTGCCATTGTTGACGTAAGAGGCCTGTTCTGCAAACATAGCACTTCGTTTCCGTGGAACTGTTTTTTGAAAAAGCTGTTACATTAAGCTGGTTACTGGATTGCATGTAAACCGGAGTACCGAAAATCACTGTTATTGGATACATGGCACTAATGCAGCTATTTGATTGGTAACTTTTAAAACGTTCATTTTTTAAGAGATCTCTGTATGACAGTTCTCAAGTGAAGAACTCTCGAAATTGACAATTTTGTAAAGTGCCCATGATATTTTTCCTAGTAGTAGTTGTTCCGACAAGTTCTCAAGCGAGCAAGCGCTGAACACTACAGGTTTGACAGAACTATCAGATGAACTCAGAGAGCGGCGGCTGGCTTGGTTTGATAAAACGGCCCAAAGAAAGTCGAAGTATGCTCAACTCTGTTTCTTAGGAATAGCACAAGCGCTGCAGACACGTAAAGACGTTAAAAACCTCGCAATGGTAGCGTTGATTGTTGAGAGGAATATGATCTTTAAGAGAGCACTGAACTTCGTCTAATATCAATCTAAAGTATCATTTTTAACGATCAGATGTCATAAATCTTGGTTACTTGGCTGTTTCAGTTGTTATCCTCAGATGACAATGACAAAATAGCGACAGGCAGAATTTGAATTAATGTTTACAAATGTTAACTTAAACAGCATTTTTTAAAATTATTTAGTTTAGTTCGAATCCAGAAAATGCGCAAGCACTGAACGGATATTAGTGTCTAGATCTCCATGTAAACTTCTTTTGAAGAACACTAATTCTGGTCTCGAATTTGCATCAGTGTCCATATTCTAAAGTTATATAGCTTAGTTTAACCGGAAATAAGCGAAGATGAACCAAAAACTAAGAACCTGCGTAATTTAAGATGTTTATAGGTCAGATTATACTTATTGAACATAACAAAAACTTCGCTGCATGATGCAACAGTTAAGCCCAATAGTCCGTTATGTCCATAAACAAGTTATCAGTGCTCCATTGCAAATTCTGCATCCTTACACTGGTAAAAATTACCAGAATCCTGTTCCGGGGTTTCACTTGAACATGCATATACCGAATTTTTTATAGTTCTTTACTTGGAAAAACTGAAGGAATGCTAATTTTGTGTCTGCCTGCATGACCGAAATAAAATAGGTTGTTACCGAAACTGACTGACTGATCAAAATCAGGGATAAGAAACTTCGTGCTTTAGTGGTGGGAAATTTGATTATCCAAAAGTAACAAAAAACAACTAACAAATAACCATAATATAAATCATACAGATGACGACTTCAATATATAAAAAAAAGTATACAGAGAATAATTAAAAGTCAACAGGACTAGAAAGTCAGGCATGGAAATATCTCGCGTTTCGAAGCTTCGATTACGCGCAGTGCGACAACTCAATTTTCGCTTGGCAGTCTGGACGGAAGAGCGAAACGGTGCGAGCAAAGCCCAGTGTTGACAGACGCACAACTCAAGATTTATTTAAAATCGAAAAGTCGCGAATTCTAGACCGAAGTAATAAATAGTTATCATCGCCGATAGGCATGTCCTTAGAACCGTATTGGGTACTCTTGAAATGCTGTGTTAAAGCTTCGCGATGATTTTGTTCCAGAGAATATGTACAGCAAAGGATTGATTGCAGGGTCTGGTAGAAAGTCTGACGAGAAGCAGCATCAGAGAAAAAGTTTAACATGGGTGACTCCCGACCTGTAAGCGACGACGGATTTTCCAGGGCATCTAAACAAAGAAATCACTGTATCGCTACAACAGACTACAACGCTTACCTTTCCAAGTCCGTATTGTCTCGATATTCCGCAAGAAACTCATATGAACCATTTCCAGCTGTTGCTCAAGGTCAACTTCGTATAGCTGACTGATATCGGCGTTTTGCTGCTGCATTAGCAATTGCCGACGGCAAGTTTTCTTTAGAGTCGCTACCCTAAACCGGTTTATTCAAATAATATGATAAAACTCTAGAAAGGGTCTCAGAGATTCTGCTGCAAGAAAATATATTACATCCAATCTACCACCATCTCAAAATCAACATTGAAACTCGTGCTCTAATAATCTCTGTTGTTACTGTTCACACATAAGCTGCCATTCACGGCATCTTTGTCCATTTTATCACAGTATGATCCAACCGTCTTGACGGAATGGCCGCACCCGGCGTTAATAGGAGACACGCGTTTAACTCCATTTGCAACTCAAAACTTTCCAATTCGATCTTAAAAATCTAACATTAAACAACGAAACACTGTACAGTTTCAAGTGGACAATCTCTGTATCTGAACGTTCAATGTTCAAAGAACTGCGGAGTAAAGGCAGAAGTCATTTTGTGGGGATCGGTACCCTCATAGCCTACTACAGCCAGCTTATAAAGATATCAATTTCAATGAACCGCAGCAAGGATTTTAAGGAGTACTGCAGCTACGTAACCCTTAGTAGAGGGTTCAAGATTAAGTAATGCTCATATCACTCAGTATATTTCATGGAGCATAACAAAAATCGTGAACAGCTGAATAATTTTGTTATACTGAATGGGCAGAGCTAGTATTATCATTGTTGCTGACACCTATTACTAGTAGATTTATTAAGCATAGCTTGTAATAATCCAACTTACAACAGTATCGCTATCAAAAATGAAAACAACAAAACACGGTTTAATATTTTCTTTTGATACCGGATTGAAACGGAAAAATAACACTGTCCCTCTGCTTCCAGTAGTTTAGGAGACCATTTAAGGCCACAGATCCATGGTATTTGAGAACTTGCAGTTTTATTTTTTTATGTATAAAACACGGTCTATTTATACGCAACGTTAACAATTTGGTCAATCAAATGATTGATAAGTACCGACTTCCTGGAGGAGGGCTGCTGGCTCTGAAAGCACGAAATAGACGAAAAATCCACCGTTGCCGGTCCCAAGCCCGGATGAGAAAGGAGGAAGGTTGGAGACCGTGGCAAGTCTCCGTAAAATTTAGCCACCTGCAACTCATGGTATTAACGCCATCGAAAATTATACCGGCTCGGTCGTCACCCGGGTTACCAAGGGCCGCGCAGCCTGATGGGGGACTGACGCAGACTGCGAAAAGTCGGCGATCAGAACCTGCTCATCGCCCTCTGCCAGCCGGGGGGGGGGG